TGAACAGTGTAAGGGTTGTTCCTCCAGTCACTCATTTTTCTTTACTGAGCCAATAGACTGCAAAACTACCAAGGTGGTAGGCAACAGTTAGGCAAAGGTAACCAAACATTCTTACAGTCAGATTCTCTACACCTGCTACTTTCCTCGAGTATAGACAGTAAGTGCTTTTGTAGTTAAATTAACGTGATTCATTTTTGCCCAAATACTAGCTACTACTTATGCTCTGAAGTGTCTAAGATACTATTGCTATGAAGTTACATAGATTTTTAACACGTTTTATTTGTTCTAACCAAATACATTACACTGCCCAGATCAATGTATTTGAGAGATGAAAGTTCCAAACTGCAGCATGTTCCTTAACAAATTGCTGAGAATATATGTCCCTTTAAATCATAGCATTAACCAAACTGAACTATGAATCATTCAGGAATATGTTTATAAAACATAATCCAATGCAACATAGTACTGACATGTTGGCAGGGTTCCAAAGTCCAGGAAAGAAGGCTGCAGTGTGCCTTACAGAGAAAGTTGTTAGGTAAGTTTTGTTCAGGCATAAATTATTGCACGGTTGGTCATGAGTAATTCAATGTTAATGAATCAAATCTGTAGATACACAAAACAAGGCTATGTGAAAATGTGTCTAGACAGAAGTGTAATCCTGCATTTCCCCTAGGAATAATGGCTCAATCTTCACAATGCAATGCTCTTGAGAACTCCAGAGAAGACAACTACCACCAAAAAAGGACTAGCTATTGTATCCTTGGCTGACCCCCGGATAGCAGAGACTGTTATCCGGAGTTCTCACCTCTGGTAGGAGTGTGGAACAAGTGGACTGAAAGGGAACATAAATGACACTAAAGTCCCAATCATGAAGATTTGAATGCAAAGGTTAATTGTATGCATCTTCCCATGTAACTCTAGTCTGCAGGAAAGCTTGAGAACAAGTTCTCAGATGGTCACGTGGCTTACTTTGCTACCACAGGAATTAAATTGACTCCTTTGGTGTTTCTTGTTAGGGATGGTCAGTGTGTGTGTGCACTGGAAAGCAGTTTTCTCACATTTCTTGTCATCTTTTTATTTTACTATCCAAATAAAATGCCTCTATCCTGTATCGTTATTTCTATATTAAAAATCAAGTATTTTTGATCCCTATCATTAAAAATATTTAAACATGGACCTCAGTAAATGACTACGTATTTATTTAGAAAGTCCTTACATGTAGAACTATAAGATTATAAAATACAAACAAAACTAAACAATTAGTAATCAGACAAACGAAATAAAATGCTTTAGTGTAATTTACATAATCTCTCACATTAACACTAAAAATATTTCATGGTCAGCCGTGCTTTGAATTTTTAAAATTTTAGTTCAGTGTTCTGCTATCCAACGTATCTCAATATTTGATTTCAACCATTCACCTTATACTCCTCCTACTGCCACTTTAAGACTTTGTAGGCCGTAATAGGAGCATGAAAGAGACAAAAGTACTCAATAACTTGCATAAAGTGAGCACGAAGAACCAGAACAGCTAGCTCGCAATCAGAATGGACAGTGTGAAGCATCTAACTCCAAAGTGTTCACTGGCTGAGCATCAGTGGGATTGTAAGGTAGCAACAATAGCAGTCTAACTATATGTGACCAAGGCTTACTCCTTGGTATTTATTCCAAAATAAAGTGAATGAAGCACAAGCTCTGCCCTTGAGGCAAACATACTGTCTCCCAAGAAGCATGTGGGAGGAACTGATTCTGAAAGGACTTAAAGTCTGGTGGAAGCAGTTGGAAAATTATCAATTGGTATGTAATATGTTTGTCAAAACTGTTTGCTAGTAGAAAAACTTTTATAGGTACACATTTAAGACAGAACCTGAATGGAATTTGTGGAAGAAATTAGGAAATGAATATAAAGATCTAGTAAGAGCCAGAATTTTTTTTCTATTTTGGGGCTACTAACGTTTTTGAAATGCAAAGCTAAATATAAATATTCCCGCTATCCACTTCCTGCAAGAAAAGGGTCCTGGGTAAAGATATCTTAAATGGCTAGTTATTATATATTTTATGCAAAATTAAATAATTTCCTTTAGAAACTGTGTATTATTTAAGGACTGGTACCATCTCTTGTTATGTATATTTATGCCTACACACAGGGCTATAGTCATTTATTGAGCTGTAAACAATCCAGGCTTAGTGATAAGTCAGTCTCTCCTTCCGACAACCTTATGACATGGAACTGGTAATGATTTCATGTTACAAAGTATTTGAGGTGATTTTCCTGACCAAACAGCAGTTAAAAGATAGCACTGAGATGTGAACCCATACACTCCAAGCTCAGAGTGTCTGTGCTTTCCCACAACACCGCACCACCAGGTTAAGAATATCTAACACATTACACATAGTCAGTTACTTACTGATATAATTTAGAAACAAATGAAGAAATGGAATAGCAATCTGAAAGAATTTTCTCATAAGGTTGTCATTCTCTTTGAAAAAGACATTATTCACATATATAGCCACCGAATTATAGTGGCAACTATGATTCTTCCTACTTCCTAAATGTAAAAATTCAAATAAGAATTTGGACAATGATAAGAATCTGTTATATGGTACGAGCTTCATAAGTTATTATTTAGAGAACAAAATGCTAAAGTGCTTTGGAAGGTTTTAAAAAGAACAGACAGGCAGAAAGGAAACAAACAAGTATCTCCAGTCTTTCTTACTGCAAAGGAGAAGGAAAAGAGAAACTTACACTGAGAAAATAATGAGGAAAATGAAAATGAAAATTATCAGAGAAATTGGACAATGGAGAATATCTATTCAAAGGAGGTGCTAACTAATTCATCAAGCAAAAATATGCATAAAGAAAAGGGGTACTTTTTCAGAAATTTTGGCTTCACTTTGTTTCCTTACCCTTCTTTCTCCAGAAGAGATCAGCAGTAGGTAGTCCTGTTTTCCAGCTTGTTTGGCTTGAGAAGCACCCAGAAGATTAGTAAAGCAAATTTCTGGTCGTGTCTGGATCATGGCTGGCTGTGTGACTATGTGACTGGGGTCTGCTTCCCAGCCCTTTTCTCTCTGGCTTTCTTCTTGGCTACACTGTTTCCTGGTTGCCATAACAGGAGAAGCTTTCTTCCACCATTCCCATCTGCCATGACTTTTGTGCCTTGAAGGCAAGTAACCATGGACTGAAACCTCTGAGTCTGTGAGGCACATGTAGATATTGTTTCTCCCAGCAATGGAAAGATGACTAATATCCTATCAAACTTATTGCAGATTCCTAAGAAAGCCATATTCTGTCCTTGTTACTGAATCTTCACTCAGCAGAGTGTCCCTCCAGTAAGGATACATATGAATTGCTATTAATGAATATTATGTGAAGCTGACAAGGTTAACTGAGGATATCTACATGGAAAACTAACCACCAAAGCTGTAAAGTGCATTTTTGTATAGGTCTTACCATACTCTTCACAGCATTTATCCTCATTTGGCATATTGAATATTTTTTAGTTGCTCCTTACTATTTGTCTCCTCACTCCCATTTAGAAATATGGGCTTCATGGGGCTGGGGATTTAGCTCAGTGCCTTGCAGTGGCACAGCGCCTGCCTGGCAACTGCGAGGTCATGAGTTCGATTCCCAGTACTGGGGTGGGGGAAAGAAATATGAGCTCCATTAAGGTAGGAATTTTGTTAACTACATCTAGAATGGAGCTAGTCATATACTAAGTACATAGTAAATATTTGTATGTGACTGAGTGAATAAATGATACAGTCTGAATACCAAACATTTAAATACCTTTGACCTTTTCTTTCATAGGAAGGAAATCCTGTACTGTTAAGAAAATTACATTTCATTAGCAATCCCTTTTCATTCCCTAGTATTTGGAACCAAAATACGTGGAATGGGTGATGGAGAATAGAATATTTTTGGTTGGTTGGCCAGTTTGTAATTTAATATAGTCAACAAAACCCACAGGCAGCTGAAGGATGGAGGGAAGTTTTTTCAATATCCCTAAAAGTTATTTCTGTATATTCAGCAAATAAAATTAATTTGAATGTTTCTATAGATAGATCAAATTTGATTCACTTCTATTTGGGCAGAAGGTCAACTCCCAAAACAAAGTAAATAAATAGAGGAGTTCTATGAATAAGCAGGAAAGAAAGAACTTACAAAGCCATGGTTCAGTCACTTCACCACCTTTAACAGTGTATTTTATGTTGGGACAGCTGCTACAGTCAACTCAAAACTCCTATTCAGAGGAGAAATCAGTATTATTTACATTTTACTAGTTACCATAAACATGTTCTTTCTCTGAACAACTTACAATCTTTTGGGGGAGGAAAGTATTCATTATGTAATATAATAAGAGAATAAAACCAAAAAAACATGCTATAAGGTGATTCCTGGGCTACTTTGCCTGGACTATCAGGCTTCACTGAAAATGCTTTACTAACAGATTATTTTCCCTAAATATGTATTGTTGATAGCTTAATTGACCTCTTCATCCTCCTATAATCCTGCAGCTTATTATTTCACACGTGTAATCATCCAGGGCTACAGAATGCCTCCTCCCTCTGTGAGTAGCCACTTTAAGGACTCTCCTTTATGTGGCTTCTCTAACGAAATGAAGCTGCCATTTTCAATGTGAATGCCTTTTTTTTCTTTGGTGACATAGACAAATGTTGATGTTTACTACAAGTCAGTACATTAGTTGCTAATTAAGTTCTTAGCTGCTCTAGCCAAAACTTGCTGTACTGAATCCAAGAAAAGAATGGCAGCTATGTCAAAAATAAGTTGTTAGGGATTGTTGTTGTTGTTGTTGTTGTTTTGTTTTGTTAAAAGAAAGTTGTCTATTAAAAATATGAGGAACTACATGCTGGGAGATAGGAAACCTTGTCTTGGTTTCCTCTGAAACTGAGTTGGTGGTCGAAATCCCTCTGCACAGCCCCGGGGCCTGGCCAGAGTTGTGTAAAAGTTAGCAGGAGGCAACAAGCCTGGTTATACCTACTTTTTCATACTCCACTCCAAGTTCCCAGAGGAGCACATTATTTTGGGAACTCACGTTTATTTTAGGAAGGGTACAGACCCCTGCGGTCTGGGATCTTCTTAGTTTCATCTCTCCACCTATTCCTTGCAGGTCCCCCCTCTGGCTGGGCCAGACCTGCTTGCATTCAAAGGTTAACTACTTTCGGTTCGCGTCAGAAACTGGGGCAGCTCCTCTTCATGTTTTGGCTGGAAAGTCCCGAAGTACACACTTTTGTGCCGTCTGCGTTTTAGCTGACAAGGTCTGATTGTTGAAGCAGAGCTCCGCCTGGGACCCGCGTTGCTGCCTTACTCCGTGCCAGAGAGAATTATTCGGTTTCCTTTCCTATTCCCCACTGTGCCCTTGGCCAAAGACCAAAAGGTGGCTCCTCCCCGACGAAACATACTCCTCCCTGGAAGATGACGTTAGGAAAGTCCTGACAAGAGAATCGAAACAAAAAGCAAAGTCAGACAAACTATAAGAGCAGCCCGCAGGAGACAGGACTAAAAGCTTTCCGCCTGGAGCACGGCGCGGTCGCAGGAGTCGGAGGTCGAGCCGGTCCGCGCGCCCCGCCACCTGCCCACCTGTCACCTGCTCACCTGCCCAAGTGAGACCGTGCGCAGCAAGGCCTGGGAGCCCCGCGGGACCCTTGCGGTGAGACACAGCGCCGCGGATCTGCGGTTTCGCGGCAGCCGGCAGACTGCGGCCCCAAGCGTGCCACCAGTGGAGCGTCCAACTGGGACGATCCGCTCCCTTCTCTGGGAACCAAGGATGTCAAACGGGTATTCCGCAGACAAGTGCTTCCGCTATCTCCTCTCGTGCTTCAGGGCGCGAGTGAAAATGTACATCCAGGTCGAGCCGGTGCTGGACTATCTGACCTTTCTGCCTAGAGACGTGAAGGAGCAGATTGTGAGGACGGCGGACACCTCTGGGAACATGAAGGCAGCTGACCTGCTTCTGAGCACCTTGGAGCAGGAGCAGAGCTGGGCCCCTGGCTGGACCCGGGAGTTCGTGGATGCCCTCCGGAGAGCAGGCAGCCCTCTGGCTGCCCGCTACGTGAACCCCGACCTCACTGACTTGCCCTCCCCGTCTTTTGAGACTGCTCAAGATGAATGTCTCCAGCTGCTGACCCTTCTTCAGCCCACTTTGGTGGACAGGCTTCTGGTTAGAGACGTCCTGGATAAATGCATGGAGCTGGACCTGCTGACCATTGAAGACAGAAACCGGGTAGGTGTCATTTCAGATGAACCAAGCTGGGCTGTTAGAGTTTGCAAAGGAAGGCCCCTTGTGCATTTGTCTCCCTCGCAATGACCTTTGACGTCTTCGGGCAAATCTGGTTTCCTCTTTCTTTAAAAAGGTAATATGCGGCTGGGAGTATAGTTCAGCGGCACAGCCCTTGCCTGGCAAGCGGGAAGTCCTGAGTTCGATTCCCGATGACCAAAAAGAAAAAAACAAAACAAAACAATATGTAGGAGCTTAAAACATAATTCTAAAAATTTAATCACGAAAGAACTAATTTTCTAATCCTTTCACTGACATAATGAAATAACATTAGATGGCTCAGCTGTACAACCACCTGCCTGACAAGCACAAGGTCCTGAGTTTGATTCCCAGTACCAAAAATAAATAAATAAAAATAAAGGAATATACTGTATGATAGCAGAAAATGCTTTTGAACACTATGTGCAATTAGTAGAATTTTCAAGATGTAGTAGCATAGTTTATGTTCAAAATAACCCACAGAGAGTTCTGTTAATCCATTTTACAGATGAGAAAACTGAGGTAAGTTAAATAATTTTTCAAGGTCTTCATGGAAAAATGGTGGCAGAGCAAAAGTCCTGATGGTATTCAGCATTATGTCTTCTTTAATGTCAGCTGGTAGAACCAGAGTCAGCAAACCATGGACTGCAAGCTCCATGTAGCTTGCTAAGCATTTTTGCAGGCCTACAACTAAAAATGGTCTTTAGAGATTGTTAACTTTCAAGTTTTCAGTGTCTATAAAGTTTTATTGGAACACACCCATGCTCGTTTGTTTATGTACTTTTATGGCTGCTTTTTTTCCAGTTAAACAGATCACACTCTGCCCCATACACTGTGCCATTTAGTTTTGATCTAAATAAATTATAGGTAACATATGTATCACATACTCACATATACACCATCTCTTTAATCAAAATATCTACATTCTGAGTCTTTGTCTTTAATCAGAATGTCTTCATTATTTGCAATTGAAATTTAGATGTAATTCATTCCAAAATATGCTGCTATTTGCAGTTTTACATATTTGTGAAGGACTAGTAGATTTTTTGAAGGTAGCATTTTGGCAGGGTGACTTTTGTGTCTTTGTACTTACTATAATGTGATCTGTTTAACTGGATAAAAGCAGCTATGAAAGTACATAAACAAATGAGCATAACTGTATTCCAATAAAACTTTATAGACATTGAAAAATTGAAAATTAAAAACCCTAAAATATTTATTATCTGGCCCTTCAGAGAGTAAATTTTCCAACCTCTGCACTGTACTATACATTATGTCATTTAACTTTGATCTAAATAAATTCTATATAACAAATCACGTATGCACACATACGCACACACTCTTTAATCAGAATATCTACATTCGGAATCTTTGTCTTTAATCAGAATATCTACATTCTTTGAAATCAAAATTTAGATATAATTCATTGAAAAATATGTTTGCTATTGCAGTTTTTCATATCTGTGAAGGACAATAGATTTTTTTAAGGGAGCACTTTGGCAGGATGACTTTTACAAGTGTCTTTATACTTAATATAATATTCATTATTTTTCAGCAAGTGCAGATGTACCCTGAAGCATATAAAGGCTGACCTATTTGAACCTGATTTATTCAGGGTCATAAGTCTTGAAAGGCATTTAAACAAATAAACTCATCACTACAAGTCAAAGTTTTGTCTATACTTTGTTATGATTATGATTTTTTTCTTTTTGGTTCATCAGTTGTATCTTCATGACAATGTTTGAGCACCAGATTGATTGGACATAACCTTTGGTCCAAGTTGGCCTTTAGTAACTGAAGTTTATGGTCCTTTGTAGACTTGACAGCCACAGGCCATATCCAAAGACCCAATTTGCATCCAAATTTGATGACCAGTTTTCTCAACAAGTAAATTACTTTCACTGTTGTCTGTAGCATTTATGTCATTTTGTGTATTGAGAACCAACTAGAACGCATTATAGTAGTCCAGCTGGATATGACAAATGTGTACATCACTGTGGCAGAATCTTAATTTGGAAGAAAGTATGCAGCCTTCAAGCCAGCTGGAGTTGGAAGATGGCATTTCCAGCCACAGTAGCTGTTAGGAAGTCCAGAAGCAACAGAGTCCAGTAACACCACAAAGCTGTTTGTGTTTCGTGGGTATGATGTCCCGATTGCCAGTGAAACAGCACTTCTCCGTATTTACTCTAAATACTTCTGCCTATCAGCATCACTTTTGTCTTGCCTGGATTCCATTTCTGCCAGCTACATTTTATCCAAGTTCTTGATTCTGGCAGACTTGGAGGCAGCTAACAGTAATGCAAGGGATTTGACACAGAGAAAACAGAGAGTAAGGGACTTGCATGTACTGGGAGCAGTTAAGGGCAAAGTAACCAATTTTTCTTTCAGATTCCTTCTGTAAAGAGGCCTTAAAGAGTGAAAAGCTATATATTTCAGGTTCTCTAAGGAGCAATAGTGTTTCTATAAGTGGCTAATAATTTTTATATGCATCATTTTACATTATCACTTCCCAAAATGAGCTATGACAATAATAGAAAAGAAGCATTACTTTTGGGAGAATCTCGGTTCATAAAAGGATCGTTGATATTTCCCTTACAAGATCAAGATATGAAGTGAAAATCATAAGAATTTAGAATGGAAAGACATGGATTTGAGGTCTACCTTTGCTTTTTAATATATGTATAACTTTGGCAAGTTATTTAAATTCCCCCATCCTAACTTTATTCATGAAAATGAGCATCATAGTAATTTCTTTTCTCTCAGTATTTTAGTTAACATCAAATGATAATTAGTGATTTAAGAAAAACTTTATAAATAATAAAAAACTATTTGATATCGTTATATTGACTTTTATTTTCATTCATCTAGTTACATTTCCTTGTAAAGTTATAGTTTCAGAGTGTCGGTGCATCTCCCATGTAAAAATTCAGATCCGCATCTTAAAATCCCTGGACAAAACTTCTTTGAATGAAAAACTGTCTTTCATCTTTTAAGGTTCCAAAACTCAACCAAGGCTCAGAGTGGGTTCAGGACTTGAAAAGTACTGATTACTTGAATTTATTTTCAAAAGTTTTCTGGAATAAGAGTTGAAAGACATGATGTGCTAAATTGGATTGCCAAGCAAGCATTGGGGAATGGGTGAATGATGGTCACTAGATTTACAAATTTGATTTTTCACAATTTAAAATTAATGTCAAAATTTGACCTCAATGGAAATAATTAATCCAGTCTTCTAAAAGTGTTCTTTTATTTTTCATTTTTTCTGGTACCCTAATAGGCATTTATTAGGTCCACTATTTAGTTGAGCAACTCCGCCTCCATCTTTCAACTCCTGCCCCCAGTTACAGCATGGCTTTTGAAAATCCTCTGAGACTTTCTTCTGTGTCCAATGAGTATCCAAAGAACATATTTAATTCACCGATTTACTCATTCATTCAGGTTGAGCTTTTGTGTGGCATCTTTGTGCCAGACACTGTGCTAGTGGTGGGAAGGTAAGACAAAAGCAGACATGGCCTGTGCATCCCTGGAGTTTACGTCATAGTGTTAATCAGAGTTCATTCTTCCAACCAATAGTTAATGAATGTCTACTGTCTGTGAGGCATTATTCTAAATTCTAGGAACTCAGCAATAAATACAAGAGTCATGTTATAAATCATAGGGGGTGATCCTTAACAGTAAAGGCATTTCCCTGTGCTGCTCTGATTTTTTCAAGAGGCTCAATGAGAACTTGGCACATATACTCACTTAGATGGGATGAACTCTGGAATAGAAGTGATTATATAAGTCTTTCCATAAGGTTCTTTTGGTTTGGTTGGTTGGTTTTTTTTGCTACTGGGAATCGAACTCAGGGCCTTGTACTTGCCAGGCCGGCACTTATGCTGCTGAGCTATATCCCCGGCCCTCCATAGTTGTAATAACAGTTTGAACAGCTGAAGAGAAGCACATGTTTTACAGCTGGCTGAAAATATCAAACACCTGTAGTCCTGGTGCCCCCATACACCTTCCATTTATGTAGGGGAACCAGAGATACCAGGACTGATCCAGCTAGAACCTGAGTCCAATTCCAACATGAAACTGAGTGTCCAAATAAGTCTCCCCTAGCTCATTGTATTGTTAGGGAAATTAGGGAAGACATACTTTTTGGAAGCAGTAAGGAGAGGAAGGCGAGAAAGGAAGGAGGAGGAGGCAGTGGGGGAAAGGAGGGGAAATGAAGAAGAGGAGGGGAGGAGAGAAAAGTGGAGGTGAGGAAGAATGGAAGGAAAAGGAAAAGAGAATAGGAATTTAACTGTACCACTTTGGCAATGTTCCTTTCATTATGCATGAAAAAAAATTCTTTGTTTTTAAGATGTAAATTTTGCTTGCAGATATACTGTTCCATGAGAGTTGAACTCTGCTAGATTCAAAGATCAGAATGATATTTAAATACAGTATCTATCTAAGGTTATCAGAAGAGGGAAAGGAAGCATTTTTATTAAAAAGTATACTTTTTTAAGTAAGCCAGTATTTTATGAAAATGTCATTGGTTTCTCCATTGATTTGTGTTGGAAAGAAAAATATATCAAAGAATTTAGAACATGAAAGTCTTGGGTTGTTTTTCTCACAAAATCATCTACATTCTATACTCCATAAATTAGTCAACAGTGTATCTAGACATTTTTAACTTCATTCCAAAGGGAATTTTGAAATTTCAAATGAGAGAAATTGAAAAGATTTATCAAAAAATTCCAAATCTTGATGCGACTACTAAACTGCACAGATATTATTCTTGTGGGAGATCAGGCCAATGTGATTCTCAAATTCCAAGCTCAGTGAGGTAAAGAAAACTTTACAAGTGTGATTCTGAAGTAAAAATCAATTTGACAGATTAATACATAAAGAAAATTTAAAAGATAAAATATGCTTAGATTTTTAATAAAAGCATTCTTTACAATGTCCTAGTCACCCTCTTTAGAGAAATTCTTTTTGATTCCTCTTGTTAGATATATTTTAACCTGACTGAAGGATGGATTAATAAAAAATAGGAATGTTTTCAGTTATAATAAGATGCTGAAATCAGTCTTCTTTATGTCTATAGCAATCAATTCTCCAATCGGCAGATAACAAAGACTTACAAACACCAGAGGAGATAAAGAATTTCTATAAGGAGATTGATGAATTCACAGGAAAAATTAGGAAATGAGTGTGCAACTACTTAGAAAGTGCTATGGATGACATGGACTGAAATCTCTTAAATTTTATTAAGTTCAGAGTCATTTTAACCATTACTTGCCAGAAACTAAACCTAAAATTGGAGACATTTATTAGCTAAAATTATTGCTCAAGAAGGCAGATTTCAGCCTATAAATCCTAGGAAAAAATTTTACTTCTGCCACTTATTAGTTGGAGATCTTAAAGATGTAACTAAATATCTTTATCTTGAAGTTCTGATCTGCAAAAGTAGTTTCGCTACCTCTTGCAGTGCTTCTAGGTTAGTATATCCAGTCTTCAGAACAGCATTCTTAAACTACTAGGAAGTAAGACTAAAATATTCTTTAAGCAGAGATTGTACTGAACACTTCTGTACTAAATAGTGTCTGCTGGCGGAGTGTTTGTCAAAGTAAATAATTTTCCCAGTCCACTTATTGATAGCTAATACAGTACCAAATTTATGCCAGACATTTGTTGCGATGCTAACAAATCTCTGACATTACGAGGTTTTAGAGTATGAAAATACATACATTTTATAGGAAAAAAAAACTAATCTGAAAAATGCAAATTACACATATGACCAGCAGATATTAAGAAGACACTTAAACAACATCTAAATCATTGTTTCTCATGTAGGATGAAGATTAGAAACACGTGAGACTGCTGCAAAATTGTTCAAAAAATTGGATGGGTTCCCAACATAGACAAAGGAAATCAGAATCCCTTAGGGGTAGTTGCTAGACATAAACATTTTCAAAATCCTCGCTGATGAGTCTAACATGCAACTAAGATGGGGAAATCCTAGAATGTCTTTTCAGTTGCTTTGCTTTCCACGTGGAGAAAGTGGGGCTCATGGAAATTAAGTGGTTTGCCCAATGCCACAGAAAGCTAATAATGTCCTGCTATCTTCCGGTGCTGTGTGGCTTATGTTAGTGTCATCCATTTGGTTGCCCTTTTAGCATCTGGGAAGATGCGCAGTGATAATGATAGCACAAGTGATCCACATTTTTCAAAGTTTTGCTAGATTAATATAAAATGAAATGCAAATAACAACTCATGATCATAATCGATGGATATAAAAATATATTCTTCCTCATAACTTATTATCTCCTTCATAATAAAATTCTCATAACATTAAGTAAACAACATTTGGGAAAATTCTTATAGAAATAACAAATAATGCAATTGTTAAATAGGCAAAAATATAGGTCTGTTTTAATAATATTTTCTTGATGAAGCTGATAGAGAAGAAAGAAGACTTAGAGAAGAAATACACGATTTTTGCCCTCGTGAACTTCACAGGTTGGAAAGAAAGAGCAAGTCTTAGATATAGAGAAAAAAATGGGTGGAAAGAAACATAACATGGCTACAGATTACAGATCCTTTGTCTTGCGGCCCATATTCAGAATGGCTGAAGTAAAACATTCATTTCCTAAATGTCAGATTTCAGTATCTCAATGACTTTAAAAAATGGTGCATATTGAAAAAGTTGCTTAGTTGAAAGATGTCCTTTGCAGATAAACTCCAGAATTGCTACTAGTAGTACTGCTATTTTCTTTAGTATTCAAATATAATCCTTTTTTAAATTATGCTTTGTTCAACTTTCTGAAAGGATATTTTCTGTTTACATTTATTCATAAGATGTTTCATGTTCTTTGACTCTATTTTTCTCTTAAAATAGATTTCTGCTGCAGAAAATAATGGAAATGAATCAGGTGTGAGAGAGCTGCTGAAAAGGATTGTGAAGAAAGAAAACTGGTTTTCCACGTTTCTGCAAATTCTTCATCAAACAGGAAATAGTGCCCTTGTCCTAGAGTTAACAGGTGTTGATTACTCCGAAAGCAATGCAGGTATTTCCCACTTTACTAAGGAAGATTTTGCACATTTTGGCCTAGTGATTGAGAATTTAAAATGAAGCTTGTAAACATAATGCCAAATGTCAAGATTTTTAGATTCGAAATTTTATAGTGAGAAGGGATTTGATCAATCACTTACTTTAATCTCCTTTACAAAAGAGGAATCTGATGCTTGAGAAACGAATTAACTTATCAGAGACCACAAAGTTCAGCAAGCAAGGCCAGGATATTGGTGGTTGACTTCCAGTTCAACCAACAGTCTGCTGTCAGTCTTACTTTGGAAACGTGGTAACAGGCTGAAACTTTTATGAAGATATTTTGAACATTACAAAACACACAAACAAATTGCAAGAAAACATTATAGTACTTATTGTAACTCTGTTTCATATTCTTCTGAATATTTTCATTCTTTTATTTTAAACAGAATAAAAAACAATAAAAATGGTACAGAATTTCAAAACAAGATGCTAGGAAAGTAACAATGGTTGTTATATTGCGTATTGTTATCTTCAAAGTAGTTGGTCAGATTACCAGATATAGGCATGCAAAATTGACCAAACAATTAAGCATTAAATGTTCCTTTCAATAAACCAACAGGAATTAGCAGTACAATTGTTTTAGCCCTCTTGTGTGTATATGTGTATATTGCTCCCTTCCTTCTTTCTTTTCTCCTTTCCCCCATCCCAGTGGTTCTTTCCTTTTGAGCAGTTTCTCTCCCTTTCACAGTATCTATTATACCTTTAGGGTTTTATTTACCCTTTCAGTTTCTTAAACCATTTGGTAAAGGGCATATCAATTGTCAAAATATTTCAACCTTACTTAATATGAATTTTTAAAATATTCGATAATAATAATAATACTATTTATAGATCTTTTGCAAATATTAACTGTCAATCTAATTTAAACTACCACCTTAATTTTCACAGTATTTATTCTGTGTTTTCAAAGCTATCATATATAAGACAAATTCAGTTAATTGTTAACAAATTACTTGTGTTATAATCATTGCAAGCATACTCCCTGTCCCTTCCCTCATTCAGTCATTCAGTGAACACATGCCCAGTGTGTTTACAACTGTTCTAGGTGCCAAGGATGAGGTGTTAAATGTGACTACAAAGTCTCTATTCCCATGCACCATACCTTTCAGTGGAGTGAGATTCACACTAAATTTTCTGAATTACATATGCATTGTAAAAGCAGACAGTCATCGATGGTGTAAAAAAAATGTAAGCAGTGAACCAAAATAACTAAATTATTGAAGACATAATACATTATGTTCCATAGTGTATCATTTTATGAAATAGTTTAAGTTTTTCCAACAGTTTGAAATGAGGAAATATATGACTGTATTTATTTTAGTCACTTAAAAGTGGCTCATTCAGCTTTTAAATGTCAAGCAATAGTATTTCACTTTCGAACGTTCCCTACTCATCCTACGTATCTGTCTATCATCTCTCTCTCTTCTTTTTCTCCACCTTTAAATAAATCACCTTCTAGTAGTATAAAAAAAATTCAGACAATAATCCTGTGGTGCATCCACCAGCAAATTCTGTTTCTACTGTCATTGTTTCATTGCTTTTTTGGGTGCACATGTGTAACTGTACTTAGAAAGTGAGAAACAGACACAGGGAGAAGAACAGGAGACAAAGAAGGAGAGGAGGGGGGAAAGAGACAGTCAAATATTTTAATGTGAGGTATTACACTGCTAAGAACTATAAAATGGCACTAATAAACCTATATGCAAGGGGCAAAGAGGAGTGCAGTGTAACCAAATGGCCAGGTGAGGGCACTGTTCTTTACCCCCATGCAAGCCCTGCTCAGTGTCATATGCTGGAGGTCAACAAAAAGTAAAATACTCAGAAGACCACACAGCTAGCTATCTGTTCTCTCTGGAATTATTCCAGAATTGGGGAAGCCTAGTCAAAGGTGCTCCATCTAGCTTTTAAAAGTCAGATAGAAATCCCATGGTCTTTCTATCAGCGAGGTCCAGGGTTTCTGTCACTGTTTCCATTTGTCCCACGAAGCGTAGTGGTATGAAAATCACTGCACATTAAGCACCATACATACTTGAATTGCTCTGGTTCGCTAGAGGGGCCTCAGTGGTGCCACTTATTTGCACCATCTAGATGACTTTTTCTCCCGTGTATCTGTCATTTCCCGGTCACTTTCCCATAGCATAAGTCTATTGCCAGTCGGCTAAGTCTGAACGGGCTTGTTGTCAGAGGTGTAGGGCCAAATCGATCTTGCACTTCAAAACTGAAGTCGGACCCTAGTCTAGACCATCCCATCTCATGTTACATGTCTTTCCACGACCCCCATGAGATGATTACCATCTATTGACAGTCATTTTTTTTTTTTTTTTCCTGGTGCGGGAATCGAACTCATGACCTTGTGCTCGCCAGGCAGTCACTGTGCCGCTGAGCTAAATCCCCAGCCCCTGACAGTCATTTTAGAACTTGAATTTAAATGGAAAATGGTAATAATCTAGATTTTTTGTTGTTTCCGAGGCAATTTTGGCCTCATTATGTCAAGGAATGTTTCAAAGGACAGTTTTTTAGACCACAGAGATCTTGTTTTACCGGTCTTGCTAGAGGGCATCTATTCATTTTATGTTTCTGCCCAGTGGGATCATTGTTTAGAAAAGAATGTAGAATAGATCTCCTTCAGAGTGTCTTCCCCGTCCTCCTGACATAGAACCAAATGTGAGATTATTTTCTTTCTAAGACTTCTTTTTTTCTTTCTGGCACTGCTGAGGATCAAACACAGAGCCTTATGCAAGCGAGGCAAGCACTCTACCGCTGACCATACGCCTAGCTATAAACCTAGTCCACTGAGATACTTTTAAGTTCCACTTTACTAGGTACCTTATAGATGTTTAGTGTCTTATTCAAATGACACTTTTTTAGGGCTTTTTGTTTTTTGGTTTTTTTTTTTTTTTGAGACATAGGGTCTCCCTATACAGTTCAGGCTGGGCTTGAGCTCACTTTGTAGCCCAGGTTGGTCTCAAACTTGCAATGATCCTCCTGCCTCAGCCTCCCTACTGCTGGGATTACAGGCATGCACCCTCATGCCTGGCCAAATTCTAGTTTTTTAAACAAAAGCAGTCTAGGTGGAGTATATCTAGTAAATCCAAAGTAATGCCTGTTTTTCAGCACACCTTACTACACCCATATCGTATCTTCCTGCCTTCCTTAATATGTCCCTTATATGCCATAACTTCACACTATGATTAGGTGTTTGTGAGTCTGTTTAAGAATGGCTCTGAGACTAATTTATTCTGATTCCCTCAGCCCAACCATATCTACTCTTTGGCCAAAACCAAGTACTTCATAAAAATAGGAATGGTCTGATTACAAAATAAAAAACAAAAAACGAAACAAACCAGCACCAATTACCCATCTTCTTTTTCCCCCTCCCTGGGTCCACAGCGGTGTCCACTTGCAGCCGGAGTTTTCTCCCCTTTCCACTAATGTGGCTGATGACGGATGCTAACTCAGCCGTCTGGTCTATTATGCAGACAGTGGATGCGGCAGAAATGAGTCTCTAAGCTCCTTTAGGAGATTGAATAGATGCCAAACCCTATGGCCTCTTCTGCCACCACCACCTCCATTCCGACTCGCTCTTCACCAATTCATTCTATGTGAGTGTCCTTTTCGTTTCCTCAGAAAACCCAGTCAGGACAGTCAGGGTTATAAATACTGTGTGTGCTTCTGGCAGGCCTTGATGCCAGGAGCACATGTACCTGTGGCTGTTGTCATGACGAGCTCAAGCACTGAGAGATGAGCTCTGAGGAGCTAGGCTGTGCCCTCTCACAATGTACATGGTGAAACCTTAACCCTCAGTGTGGCTGTATCTGGAGATAGGGAATGAAGAAGTGATTATGGCTACCTGAGGTCACAGGGGTGAGGCCTTCATACAGTAGAACTATGGCCTTACAAGAGCAAGAGCACAGAGATCTCAGGTTCCCTGTTGTGAACCAACACAGTGAGAAGGCAGCCATCTGCAACTCAAGAAAGGAGACATCTCTAGGTCTGCTGTCCCCTTGCACTTGGATGACCAATCTCCAAACTTGTGGGGAATTTGTTGGTTAGGGCATGCAGTCTGTGCTATTTTTGTTCTCATAGCCTGAGCTAACTAATGTGCATTTTGGTGCCAAACATCATGGTCCTACTTTAGAAAATATATACCCGTAGGCATGTGCAAGTGACTTCAGAACCGGTAATGGGGAGAAAGAGGAAGACACTGAGGTGGATGCTAGCAGTATAGATATTAAGGGTGATTCTGCTTAGTTCCTAGAAGGAAATGAGCAATTTCATCAAAAACTGGAAGAAAAGTGATCCTTATAACATGGCAAAGAACTGGATGAAAGAATGTTCTAATATTTTGGGAAAGGTAGATCTTACAGGTAGTGAAACTGGATACAGTATTTAGCAGGGAAGATTTCAGAACAAATTGTTTGAGGAGTGGTTTTTTCTTGACTGCTTATGGTAAAATCCATAAGAGAATGTGAGCTAAAGAAGCAGCTGTTAACTCAGAAAGGACCAGAATTTGAAGAGTTGAGAATTTCTCAGCCTGTGCACATTACAGAAAGTTACGAGCGTGTGTTCTGAATGGAACATTATTGTGAGACTGGACAGATACTGTATTTGATAAAGAGATTATGGGAGTGAATCACATACTTCCTCATTTCAGCAGAAGCCAGGAATAAAGATGTCACTGTGCCAGTAGAGACCCTGTCAATTTGCTTACAGGGAACAGAGAAAACTGAATGGAACGAAGAGAAGCTATTGCACTTCTGTTGAAGCCGTTTGGCTGTGGATAGGTGCTATTCCTTAGGAAAGGCAGAGTAACCCCAAGGCAATTCAGAGCTTGTCAGGGCTGCCAGTAGCCCCAGGGCCAAGGGGGCAGAGCTTTTTTTCCCCTTGGTTGCAAAGGATGTAGCTGCATATTTGGGTTGGATGAGGTGCCTCCCAGGTGGACATAATTCACAGACTCTCTGAGGGCAAGATTCTCAGCAAAAGGGGCCTGGCATGGTTCCACCACCCTAGTGGGCTCCGAGGGCAGAGTATCAAACCAAAGAATGATGTTCTGTTTGTTTGGTTGTTACGCTTGTTTGTTTTTTCTTTTCCTTTGGTTTGATTTTGTTTTTTGGTTTATATGTGTTTTGTTTTGTTTTGTTTTGTTTTGTTTTGTTTTGTTTTGTTTTGTGAGAGGGTCTCATTTTGTAGTGCAGGCTGGCCTGGTACTCACGATGTAGCTCAGGCTGGCCTTGAACTTGCAGTGATCCTCCTGCCTCAGCCTCGGGAGTGCTGGCATTATAGCATGGCAGGCGTGTGCCACCCCTCCTGGATTTGTTTGTTTTTTTGAGATAGACTCTCACTGTGTAGTTCAGGCTCGCCTTGGACTCACTTTATAGCCCAGGCTGGTCTCTGACTTGCAGGAATCGTGCTTCAGCCTCTCAAATTCTGGGATTACAGGGGTATTCCACCACACCCAGTCCTGTTTTTGTTTCTTTGGTTGCTGTTTTATTGGTGGGGCAGGGTTCAAAGAGAACTGTTCTTGAGTTTTAAAATCTGATGGAATTTGTCTTGCTAGGTTTTAGTCTTATTTATGGTAAATCTCTTCTTCCTTTCGTTTGTGTGTGTGTGTGTGTGTGTGCACGCATGTGCATATGAAAAACATTTTTTTTGGAATGGAGTGTGTATATTAGTCTGTGCCACATTTACATTTTGGAATCACCTAAATTGAATGGCTTCATGAATATAAAGCTGGAGGTGGAAGAGAATTTACCTGAGGCTGAATCACACCTAGAGTCTTATACTGATCTAATTTAGATACTATTTTGATTCTAGAACAAGTTAAGCCATTTGAGGCTTTGAGACAGATGAATATATTTTGCATGCAATGGAGATATGTTGTGGAAGAAGCTGTAGGGTCCCCAAAATCATAGATTGGAGCCCTAACCCATAGTACAACTATATCTGGAGATATTATGTTTAGGAGTAATTAAAGTTATGAGGTCATAAAGGTGAGACGCTATGTCAGGGTAATTGTGGTTTTACAAGAAAAGGAAGAACGAGAAGCATCTCTTTTTCTCTTCCTCTTGTGAGGACACTGTGAAGGTAGCTGAGAACATTCCAGAAAGAGAACCCTGAGAAGTAAATCTCTCTCTTTTAAATAATCGGTCTGTGGGGTGTTGGTGTAGCAGCTGACAGACCGGTGTAGGACCCTGGCTCCTTCGGCCCATCCGCTCCTAGCTCTGCCCCTGGATTTGTGACCTCTGGCCAAGAACACGACCTCACTTTGCTCATGGGTAAAATGAGGATTATAATATCACTGCTCACCTAGATTTATTTTGCACATTAAATGACTTGGTATGTATAAAGTGCTTTATGATAACCCCAAATGTATTGGCTACTGTAATTACAAAGCCCAGATATACAGAACAACTACCTTTAAACATTGTCATGTTGGCTTTTTATCTGAAGTCTGAGCCATTTTGTCCAGCAAATTCTCCATGCAAAGTTGGATGCATTTCCCCTTTCTATTTTAACGGGGAGAGGGTTAATTTGAAATCATACTTTAAGGAATGTTCCTAGGTGTGTTGGCACACACCTCCAATCCTCGCACTTTGGGAGGCCGAGGTAAGAGCACCCTGAGCCTGACCCCACACTGGACATCTTACCAAGGCCCTCTCTCAAAATAAAGAATGAATAAATAAATAAATACATAAAAATATAAAAGAGACCCTAGGTTCAAGATCTAGTAATACAAAAAATTTTTTCTTTCTTTATGGCATCTGATTTCTCTGACAGATTGTAGTTTCAGAAGGAGCAGAAATTGTTTCTCTTGCACTGCACAGAGGCCCTTGCTGAAACACTCAGGATACACTGGCTGAGGGCTGAAAGGCAGGAAGGTGGGACTGAGGAAAGGAGGAAGAGGAAACACAGGCGACTTTGTATATTAAGGAAACATGCTCCAGGAATTCCGAATCCATGCATTTCATCTGACATTAAAGCAGATGCACATCATCATGGGTAACATGCAGAGCGAGGGAACGAAATGGCAAGAGCGCAAGCTACAGAAAATCCACCGCATTTCCATTTCCATTAATTCAGCCTTAAGTCACTCTGAATCCCTGAGTCAGTGACTTAATGTTAAAGAAAATGGTTAGAAGGGGGATCATCTCATGTTCCTCATGACTGGCATAATAGTTGTTATATTGCCTTGTTAGATAAAAGGTAATCATTAAAAAGAATTACTCACTGTGTTCATATTAAAAGTAAAAATATTGTGTCATAACAGAACACTCGTTCTAAACCTTTCAAAATGTCACAGTTTTAAAGCGTATTACAGCAAATCTCTGTCAGGGGATTCAGCTTTATTTTCAGAACAATAATAACTATTTATATTGTATACAATTTTGCATTACAATTCAGTTCATATTCTGAATTCATATTCAGATTTCCAAAGTATGCAAGTGCGGATAATCTCCAGTTCATAGCTGATTTCTTTTTTAATGACAGTAACATTTATATATACTGTACAGTATAAAAATCAGTTGCTCGTCATTTACAATCTAATTTTTTCTTCACAGAGATTGAGAATTTGCCGCACGAAGCTGGTCCTGACGTTAATGAGTCGCTTCTTTCAGCCACAGATCAGCCAAATCTAGAGAAGGAGGACTGGGGTGTGGAGAGTAATTTTTCAGAGTCGTCGTTTGCAGATTCTTCTGTAGTTTCAGGTATTTGACAAAAGTAGATGCTTTACATACACTTCCAGAATTGTTATTCCAGAAAAATCAGTTGGGGTATTAACAACATCAGTATCTATTAAGCATAGAAGGTGGGATGTGGGCCCTGGAGTTTGTAAGAATTTTTATTAAAATAATATTTTTACGAGATTAAATTAAAATAATTTCTGCTCACCCATTTTAAATGAATTGAAATGAATTGGTTAAATGAATTCATTAAATGAACATAAATGTGCTATAAATATGAACATATTTGTTTCCAATTTTACAAAGAAATCTGTGGTCATTCTAATGTGATTGCCACCATAATCATGTGCTATATTTCATGGTTCCCAAATTACTTCTTTTTTTTACCGGGAATCTGACTCAGGACCTTGCACTTCCTGGGCCCGTGCTTGTGCCACTGAAATTTACCACCGGCCCAGTTTCCAGAATAAATACATTAATCACTTTAGTTCACCCAAAGCTCCTCAAAATAATTAAGACACTTACATCTCCCTGCTTTTATGGACAGAGATCTCAGAGATGTTCAGCTGTTTTAAAGAGGACGGTGAACAGACACTAAAGTAAGATTGGCTTGAATTTCAGTAACTAATTGGTATGAGGACCAAGTGCCAACATCCCTACTTTCTGATACTGAAAAACCCAGGAAGAACAAAGTAATCATTTTTCCTTCTTTAATATCCTCATGGTAGGAGAATCCCCCTCTTTCCTTTCCTTCCAAATGCCCACAATGTATTTCCACAAAAAATAATTAAGTCAGTGGTGTGTTATTGTAATAAATAGGTCTCTGGGGCAAAGAAAAAAGCCTTTATTTCTAATATTATTTGCCAAAACTGCGATGTAAATATTTCAGTCTGCTTTGCCTAAGGTTCCTGGTCACCAGGCTGGGAAAAATTGAGCAATAATACTATACCACAGCATAGCCTTTGCACTGTCTATGTACAGGGAAGTCAAATCAAAATCACACATTATAGTGAAATCTAGTAAAATGATCAGAAAGTGATGTTTACATGTTTTCTCCCATTTAAAGTTCAGTTTATTTAATTGTAGTTTACATAATTTTTTAAAAGGCCATTCTTAAGAGTTGGCTTACAACTTTCTTGAAATTTTAACAACTGGATCTTGTGAAGTGGTACAAACTGACTCTTGTTTGCCACTGTATTCTATTATTTCTACTCTCAAAGTGACATAGTTGAGTTGCAGAAAACTTGGGATGCACAGAAAGACACAGACATCGCTCATATTCCTACAGTATAGCTCTTCCACTTATGCATGTCTTCTCGGTCTTTTCATGTGGCTGGGTATGTATGTGTGACGGCGTATTTCCTGTGCTTGATAGATGCTCCTCCACAGGATGGCTTTTAACGATCCACTAATGGTCCCACCATTTGGATGCAGTATAATTAATTAACCAATTGTTGAGCATTTAGTATTGTTCCAAATTACGACATTATGAATAATGTATTGGTATCTTTCTGTACTAGTCTTGCAACTTACATTCTAAAAAACATACACAATTAGAATTTCTGATTCAAATGACTTATTATTTCAACACACTTGATAAAGTCAAATTGCACTGTACATTGAATATATACACCTTCTCTCACAGTATAGGAGAGTGCCTTATGACCATGAATTTTCTTCTACAAAAGTTGGTAATCTGTTGCTGATTCAATTGCTATTCAAATGATATTTTCTTTTTTTCTGCTAAGCTATGTTTGCAAGTTCCTTTTCTTTGCATTGTTATTGATTCTGTATTCATTTTCCTATTAGGCTATTTCTGTTCTTTCTGCAGATTTATATAAACTACTGAAATATATCAGGTATCAGTCTTTTGTATAAATAGTATCAGTACGTTTTAAGGTTTGCTAGCTTTTTAGGCTTATAGTATATTGATTTACTGCTTTCTGTTGTACAGTGTGTTGGGTTTATTTTTTAATGCAATGCTGCTAAACCATATGGAGGAGGTTTATTGATATTCAGATGCTGATTCAATAATTGTGGAGTAGGGCCTGACATTCTACCTTTTTCACGAGCTTTCAGATGCTGTTGCTGCTATTGGTTATGGATCACACTCTGAGAGCAGATTTCAGTGTATAAAATTACAAAGCTTTGAAACTTGAATTCTAGTGGAGCTTTTTTTCCCCATTTAAACACTTTCGGATATCAATATTCTACGGAGACGCCAAAATCCACTATCTCAAGGTGGAGTGGAGTTTTTATGTTTTAATAAAAACTCTCGATAAGTTCCCTGACATCTCTGTAGGAAGTTTTACAAATCCACAGTAAAAAGGATTGAAAAACCAAAATGAAGGTAGAAGTTCATCATGCATCTTAAATGAGGGCTTTCTATCAAAACTTACCACATGTAACTCATCAGCTTGTAGTTTATCTAGTCTGATTTCCAAAATGAACACAATTAAATGCAAATATTTTAAATACCTTTGTTCTTTTTTACTTTTTAGTAAAAGCCTTTTTGTTTTTTAATTTTAAGGGATTCCTGTGAGAAAATTTGGATCTTAATAATGACCTTAGGGGATAGAAAAGTTTTGGAGGGGTTAGTTTGTTTCTACTCTGGGAATGTCACCAGAAAAGAAATCACCATTAGCTCTACTCACAGTAAGTGATATGAAAGAAAAATACAGAATATTACCACATGGAATACCCTGAAAATGCTCCAGTGTTCAGTTAGGTGGTGGAAGCGGGTCTCATCCAGTTCACAGTCATCTTGTGGTATGTAGCATCCTTATGATGTCTGGGCTTCTCTTATGTGTTTGTCAGCAGGTTAGTCCAATCCAAGCAGGCCCTTTCCAGAGCAGTACCAAGGGGAACTTACCTTTAAATATGTATCGCCTTTGTTGTAAAGCTTTGCTGTAGTCACTGCTGCTGCTAAATGCTATGGATCATTTCAAGTTATCTGTTGATTTTCTTCATTTTAAGAACTAAAAATTATTGACATAAATAATTTCTAAAGTATCACTGGCGCAGAGAAGTTATTGAAGTCCTTTTGATCAAGCTTTTTGTAGCAAAATTTAATATAGAAGACATTCACCTACAAAAGCATTCTCAGAATTAACAATCAAAATAAGAGGGAAAGTATTCCATGGTTCCTAATATGTATTTGCATAATTTGTTATATATTTTCCTGATAATGGCAATGTATCTTTATTTTGAATTTGTGCATATTGGGTTAATATTTCAAATAGTTGCCAAAGTGCTGGGGATTTAGCTCAGAGGCAAAGCACCTGCCTGGCAAGCACAAGGTCGTGAGTTCGATTCCAAGTACCCGAAGAAAAAACAAAGAAACAAACAAAAAATCAATAGTTGCCAAAATAGCATTGAAAGAAACTTGTAATTAAGGTACACACATTTTGTGTTTTGTTT